GTTCACCGTGTCAAATCTTTAATACCTGAACTTATTATATGAAAGATTTCATTGTAGTTGCATATGAGAACAATCCTACACTATGAAAATTTTATATTACCACGGTTATCATTTTTTAAATTGAAAACATTGCTTATAAATTGGTTCTTGTGTTAAACAAAATCTGCTATTCAAACAATTTAAGCATTTTCCATTATTTACTGAGTTTTATTCTAGTTGCCGAAGTAGAGCGACAATAATGTTGTTACGACTTGCATTTGACATTCGAACTGGCGATCGAAGTGATACTTGTTGGATAATATCGAAAAACATATGTTTCAGTCATATTCCGATTGTTGTTCTGATGTTATATATGGCGTAGTGAAACGGCATTTTTTTCGAAAAGTATTTAGCAAGTAACAAGCAAGATATACATAAGAAAAATGTAAGTTTTAACAAAAAAAAAAAATGGAAGAAATTACAAGAAATAATAGACTTTATAATGTAATACATAAATTATTCAATAATTAAATTCTTCATTTTAAGTATAAAAGTGACATTTAAAGAGATCAGAAACAGTTGACAGAAGAGCTGTCTCTAATGTTAAATCTTTTGTCTCATGTCATTCGACATCTGGAATACCACATTCCATATGAAGTTATAATTCGAATAAGGCTCACTGTCTCAAACATAAAATTATATTAATTTGTAACTGGTTATTACTAGAAACAATGTTTTATAATTTATTGAGCCTTCTCTCTTCTCACATATAAAGCTGTTTTTAAGTTTATGCGTAAACCAACAGATTAACTTAGACTAATTAAATCAACTTTTAGTATGAAGACGAGCAAGAACGTAAATATATACACATCTAATAATTGATAAGCAAAAATGCATTTATGTTATATAAAATCACATTTTTTAGTGTTACAAACGGAGTAGTAAATTTATACAGACTCTGTTAACATAGTTCCTATACCTAGGTAATAATTATTTAGGTTTTTTGAATTAATGTCAGAGTTAAACCTCATTAAAATGTCATTATTTATATTTCAAAATTTCTACAATTTTGATGTCTTCAACATTGCTAAAAAAAAATCACAACCCTTGATTTGGGAGTTTATTAACTTTTATAAAATTTATAGCGTAAATAAATGCATAAAATGAATTTTTTAAAACATTGTTAGCTTAAAAAATCAAATTTTTTGAGTTAATTCATTTTTTTTGGCAGGGATACAAGAATAACTCAAATCAAAACAGCTTTAATACTTGTATATTTACAAAATTTGATTATTTACTAAATAATTGGCTTTAAAAACTGTTTACTATATTAATAATATTTCTTATTTATATTTTTAGCAATGGTGCTAAGTAATTATTCAAATCAAAAATAAATTTCCCTAATTATCGCATAGTCACGACTCTATACTACTTACTATACACAATACATACATAGTAGTCAGTTCGCTCAATTAAAATTTTTATTAAAATTAAATAAACGTTTAGTAAAATAAATAATATTTTGCTAGAATTAGAATATTTTGAAATTTATTTTATTTGACTAACAATTAGAAATTTTTCGCTATTTATTTACGTTAGGTAACATTCCTTACTATAAAAAAATACTTTTAAACACTTAATAAATTATCCGAACCGGGCGGGACAGAGCGCGTGCTGAAGAAAAATTTGACTCATAACAAATATTATTTTTTATTTAAAAATTATTTTTGCACCTTATTCAAGAACTTTAAATTTTTGTTAATTTTCAGCATCATTAAAATTTTATGGTAAGCCATCTATGTTATTATTTTTGTATTAACAACAATAATTTGAAAATTTAAGAATAATTAACTGGTTTTTATTTTTAGAGATTATTTTTTTAAAAAAAAAAATTGATATTTATGCATTTAAAGTGTGGGTATGTGTGTATGTCAAATTCGCTTTTAGATTAAAATCTAGTTTTAACTGGATTCTTAAAATCATAATACAAACCGGATTTAATTTTAAATTTTTCTTCTTCTCTTCTACTTTAGAGAAAAATTATTTAATTTTAATATTTTTTTAACTTTCTTCCTACACTATTCTCGAATATATTCGAAATCTGTATGCAATTTAGTAATATTTTAATTTACAATATAACAATATTATTCTATAATATTTTATTTTAATTTGAAATACTTAAAAAATTATTAAGAAATTTGGAATAATTTTTAATTAAATATAGGAAATCAAAAAATTAATTTGCTATAATTTCTAAATGATATAAGAAATATGCGGATATTATTGATTATTAATTAAAATATACATGCATAATATATAAATACAATAAATGTAGGTAGAAAATGGCTTATGAACAATATAAAGAACTTATAACCGTAAAACTTTTATATTCATTTTAATTTTTATTGAATTTTTCAACATTTTGACTAAATCTTCTATTGTTTATTTTCATTAACCCTATAATAGTATAATTGATTTTCAAGAAAGTTTTCATAATTTATTACATGTTTGATATTATTTTATATTCCGGAAATAATTGACATACAGTTTCCTACAACCTATAGAATCTAAAATAGTTTTTCTGAAAATTATGGCCGGCCACATCGCACCAAATTTGTTTGTGCAAAATTTTCCAAACCATACGCTAAATAATTTCTGAAATGTAGTGAAATAACTTTTGGAATTGTTTGGCAGCTATCACATGTGCTCATACAAAATCTAAACAAATTTTAACGATTATAGCTACAATTTTACCATATTTGTTTTTACCAAATTTCAGTACTGTTGCTTGAACAGGTTTTAAGATATAGAAAAATAACTTTTCAAATTGTATGGCAGCTACCAGGAGAAATCAAGGAATTTGAGCCACTTTTATCAAGTATAATAAACATAATAATATATTTAGTTGAATTTCAGTACCATAGCTTCTGTAATTTCTGTGATATAACTAAATAAATTTTGAAGTTGTATGGCAGCTACCCGTACTAGTACCACGATCGTATCCAATTTAAATAAGGTTCTGGTATTTACTATAATAAATCATTTGTAAAAATTTGGAAAACTAAGCTCAATTAGTTTTTGAGTTAACATTGGAACGTACAGACGGACAGACATTTTTAAATCGATTGAGAATTCGACGCTGATCAAAAACATCAGACCATTATTTCTTAGCGTTAAAAATGGTAAGACAAATTTAGTATACCCTTCGAATAAATACGTTCGTACGGGTATAAAAATTATATCCTGTTATGAATAACAATTCTAGAATAACGCTATTGTTCTAATTGAAAATATTATAGAAGAACATTCCAATTTGTTTAGATTCTTCATTTTGAATTTATTAAACTAAATAATGGAATTCCATAGATATACGAGCTTTATGTATAATACTTTCTATAATTAATTATACACATACCAATTATATTAGAAACTAATAAATGAATGTATAATAAAATTAATGAAACAATCAACACCTGAACTATAAAATGATTCATTTTCCGGTCGCGTTTAAAAAAAAGAAGCAAACAAAATTCCACTTCATCCGCTTATAATAAATGTGTAAATATTTTTAATCTGAATTTTAAAATGTTATATAGATTTTTTAAAGCTGATCTTTTAAAGAGAGAGAGAGAGAAATATTTAAAAAAAATTTTAACGAGTTTAATTCAGAATATTTTATTTTGTTTAACTGCATAATATTATTAAATTCTTGATATTTTTAATCAAAATTATTATTTTATAGGAAAATAGTTGAAGACACGAGTGAATAAATGTGTCAACTACAGTTTTTAAAGTTTCGAGTAAATTAACCTACTTTCAAAACAAAATAATTTTATTCAAAAGTGTGACATAACTATCTCTTAAACTGAGTCGTTTTTCGAAAAACGGCTCTTTGATATATGAAAAATAAACATATAAAATTTCTATTTATGCAATAACCTCATTTTTGTCAAAATTGTAAATGACACCTTCATTCAATCGTTTCTTCAATATATTATTATCAATAATTAATTCTCTTACAATACATTTTTAACTAATTTAATATTATAAAAATTTAATAAAAATTTATTTTATTAATTTATTTGTATTTCTTGTGAAAATTAATTCTGACATCAATTAAATCTCAATACACAGAATTACTTATTTTCATTGTCATAATAAATTTCAAAAATTGAAGGTTATTAAGAATTAAATTCGTATAATATAATTATGAATTTATAAATTAAATTGCAATATAAAACGAATTGTTGCTGACAATAATATTATGCCCCATATAATAAATATTAATGTATATTTAATTCTCAGAATTTAATATTATTTTAATATTAAGATTCGAATACTGGTAAATTTTAAAATTATATTTAAAATGAAAATTATTTAATAATTGAAATTATCAATAATAATTATATTGGTATACCTATAAATTAAAAGAAAATTACATAAAATCTTTTAAATACAGAGACGATTACCATTTTTGCATTACTGACGATTATTACATTTGACACAAAAAAAAATTTTTTTTTTTTAATTGTAATTTTTATAATTATTTCATATTATTATATCAATTAAATAAAAATTAAATTTATAATTGAATTAATTTTTAATATTCACAATGCTATATACAATATTTATATATATGCTATTGTGAATACTTAAATTTTAATTTTTTGTCAGTATAGAAATTCAAAATAATTATGCGAAGAATATTATGCATTTATTAAAATTAAATATTTTTGCGTATATTTTTTATTTATTTAGACAGTAATATACAAAATAACAACACTTTTATGTTATTAACACTTAATTTCATTGATATTATATTTTTTTATTTCATGGTCATTAGAAGTATTTTGCTATGCCAAAAAAAAAACACCTACTCTTGAAATAAAAATGATTCACAATTAACATCGTGCAATATCAAAATAAACTACAAAAAATTCAATGGGTCGACGTGAGAAAGGCCACAGAGTCCCGACACAAAAATATCAAAATATAAACACATATAAAATTTTTCAACTCACCTGGAATTGCTATCGATGTAGCAATCATTAAAGTAGCAATTAATCCCAATAAGAATTTCATTTTTATTTTATTTTTTTTTTTAAATTTTCTTCTATGAATATTTTATTTTCTGAACACTTCTCTTTTATCTTTTTTAACAGTTATTTTTATGATAACAATTTTTTAACCTACAACAAAAAAAATAATTAATGAATACTAAAAACAAAATTTTTTTTTTTAGAAAAAAATATAAAAATATTTTTTTTTCAATTCACTCTTAATTTTCAAATTTCAAATACAATTTTTGCTTTGACTACTATTTTTTTTTTAAATTAAAAAATTTTTAATTTTTTTCTCTTTTTAATAAGAGACAAAATAAAATTTTAAATATAATTACTTTTATTTTCTATTTAATAAAATTTTATTTTTAAGTCTTTACTTTTAGATGTTCGAAAAACAACTGCGAATATTGGAATTGATCAATTTAATAGAAAAAATACTTTATGGTTATTGAAGTGGTTATACGCTTTAACTGAATTGCCGGCCGCAAATTTATTAAATTTATATACAAAATATAAAATAATGAGAAAAAAAAAAAGTAAAAATGAAAATGAAAAATAAAGTTGATTTATAAATATGTATGTATGTATAGAGAAGCATATATGCATATACATATATACACAACTTATTATGCCATATAACACATATACAAACACATATATTTAATAAAATAATTTAAAGAGCAGAGTAGTACAAAATGAGCAATACAAACATATATTTATATATATATATATAATATCAATATCTATTATAAATATTAATATTATATATGTATGTACAAAGTACCGTATGTATACATATAATGTACATATATACAATATAATATACTTAAACTTTTCCACTTTGCTTTACACACAGTACATTATTATACCCTGCACTTCGTGAAGGGTATATTAACTTTGGTATGGAGTTTGTAACTACTTGAAGGAGTCATCTGCGGTATGGACATATATATATATTCTTGCTCAGCGTAAAATTCTGCGTTGATTTAGACATGTCCGTCCGTCCGTCCGTCCGTCCGTCCGTCCGTCCGTCCGATCGCACGATAACTCAAAAACGAATAATGCTATCGACACCAAACTTTCACAAGTTCTTTCTTTTGTGCCAAGGACGAACCCTATTGTTATTGGACTAATTCGGACAACGGGTTCGGGTAGCTGCCATACAACTCAAGGAGTTTATTTTAAATATTTCGAAAACTAATAAAGCTATAAATATAAAATTTTGTATACATGTGTCCAATTATACTCTACACATGCTCTAAAAATTATAATGGGATAGCTGCACCGGTTCGGTTGGCTGCCATACAACTCCAACAGCAAATTTTTTATATTTGGCAAAATAGTAAAGTCAGATTCGTGAAACTTGGTAGTCATGTGTCCAATTATAGGTCAAATGTATTTCTGAAGTTTTAGAAGAATTGCTTGACAGGTTCGGGTACCTGCCATACAACTCCAGAAGCTAATTTTAAATATTTGGAAAAACAATAAAGTGAGATTCATGAAACTTGGCAGTTGTGTGTCCGATTGTAGATCAGATATATTTGTGAAGTTTTAGTGGAATTGCTTGACAGGTTCGGGTACTTGCCATACAACTCTAAAAGCTTATTTTAAATATTTGGAAAAATAATAAAGTCAGATTCATGAAACTTGGCAGTTGTGTGTCGAGTTATAGGTCAGATATATTTCTGAAGTTTTGGTGGGATTGCTTGGCAGGTTCGAGTAGCTGCCATACAAGTCTAAAAGTTTATTCTTAATATTTGGAAAAATAATGAAGTCAGATTCATGAGACTTGGCAGTCGTGTGTCCAATTATAGGTCAGACATATTTCTAAAGTTTTGGTGGGATTGCTTGGCAGGTTCGGGTACTTGCCATACAACTCCAAAAGCTTATTTTAAATATTTGGAAAAATAATAAAGTCAGATTCATGAAACTTGGCACTTGTATGCCGAGTTACAGGTCAGATATATTTCTGAACTTTTGGTGGAATTGCTTGACAGGTTCGAGTAGATACCATACAAGCCTAAAAGCTTTTTCTTAATATTTGGAAAAATAATAAAGTCAGATTCATGAAACTTGGCAGTCGGATGTCCAATTATAGGTCAGACATATCCGTGAAGTTTCTATAGAATGACTTCACGGGTTCGTGTAATTGCTACATAATAACGAAAGGTGCAGGGTATAATTCAATCGGTTTATACCGACTGAAACGTTTTTACTTGTTATTATAATAATTTTGTATCATTATGTACACTATTATATTATCACACACATACGAGTATACATTTTTTTGTGAAAAAAATTGTGCACATCAATAGTGTATAATGATATTTTTGCTTTAAGAACTTGTTTATTTTGTGTTTCATTTTTCGCTTTGCTTGCTTTTTTTTTTTTTTTAATTTGTGATTTTTTTTTTTATTGTTGAAATGTTAAAAATGAAAATGATTTTATATAAATTTATATTTATTTATACATATTTATAGGTATGTGCATATAAGAATATAATAATATGATTTGTAATAGTAATACAGTCGAATGTGGGATTTAAGGAACAAAAACCTGTCTCTGATAATATAATATCCTTGTCTCTTTTTTACTACAATTTTGAATTTGAATTCCAAAACACCTTGTCGTACAATAAACCTTATTTTTTTAAACATCCCACCGTCTTTAAAGTATTAACCAGTTTTATAATCTTCACATAATTACAAAATCGTTCCTGAACGCTGTCAGAAATCCCAATAAATCTCTTACACAAAGAGCGTAAGAAATCGCACAACATCCAATTTTTTCCTTCTAGTGAAGATCGCAATTCTAGTTTTAGAAGAATTGATCGCCTCCGCAAACCATGGGTGGCTTAAATAGCAAGCCGTTTGCAGGAAATTCGGCTCAAACGTCATAATAAAGATCAAATCCTCCGCATTTTTTAACCCACAAAGCCATAATTGCGCAGATGACACAACAAACTATTAACCACACTGAGGACACCCCCAGGAGTTCACAACCAGCGTATACCGCTTAGAATTACCTGCACAGCTATGCTCACAACCATGCGATATGGCGACAATTCGACCATAATTGAGGTACGAGTATTGTTGAAAGCGATTTCTACATCCATAAAAGCAGCCAGAGTAACTTTATTTACTCCAAGAACTTCTCGATTTTAGAGCAGATCTATAACGGCGTTCTGATGCATAAGCAGAGTACTTGCTGTTAGATAAATTTCTCTAATAAACCTTTGTACAATTCGATGCAAATACATATTCGGCTTCACTATGCGAAAATTTTATTTTTTGGTTATCAATTGCGTTTACCTAGACTTTACGGTTCTTAAAATATTCTCTGTAGTACTAGTATATTATAAAGAAAAAATAGTGATTTTTCGTGATTCAACCGACTGATATTGTATTTAAAAATTTTTATTTTTATTTTTAATTTTTATTTTATTTTGTGTAGTATATTTGACGATTGTCATCATATAAACGGCAAAATATAAAACAAAAAAAAAAGATTTAAAGATACAGACAGGTACATTTATACACTCTCCTATTCTATATAGATTTATAATAATACACAAATGTAACACATGTATAGTATTATAAAATCGCCATAACCATGAGAATCTATAAATTTACGTTTAATATGCGGCTTCTTTTAATAGTTTCAATTCATTTTATTTATTTATTTGCGATTTTTGTTATTTAAATTTTTTTTTCTCGCTTAGACTATGTACAAACATTCATACTTACATTTGTTATTCATTATTTATTATTCGCAAAATGAAATATAGGTAAACAAGCTATTAAATAGAAAGAGGGGGCAAAGGTATAAAATTAAATATTTAAATATTTAACTAGTTAGCTAGTTATACTATTACAAAACGTAATAATATAGTTAAATTCTAATGAGTATAATAAATAAAGTAAAAATATAACAATATAAAAGAAATTTTTGACAATTGAAAATTTTATGTATAAAATGAAGTACAATTTGACTTGACAAATTACAAACTTATGTATGTATGTACATATATTTACAAAATTTAAATGTTAAGTATTATAACAGTTTCGTTTTCAATTAGATATAATTATATTTTTTGAATAGCAATAATGAATTATATTTAAACACATACGTATGTATGTATCGTATACGTAAAAGTTTAAGAATCATTCAACTAAGAGCAACTACTTTGTTATATAATTTTAAATTTCATAATATAAATCAATGTTTTTCTAAAAAATATGTATATCAGTTAAAATTTGTACTACTCTGGTAATTTCTTTAAAAAATCACCTATTTTAAATTAAATTGGTTGATGTTATCAAAAATAGTTAACTTCTTTATATCACTGTGGAAAAACAAATACGTATAAGCAATTTGTGCTCAATTAGTAGTACCTCAAGAGAGAGCCTGATGGTACTTATTCAATTCGTACCAAGGAAGAATGTAAAACGCTGTATAATGATATCCCATATTAAGCTTCAAATCTTAGATGGCTAGGTCATGTTGTCAGAGCAGACAATGAAAGGCCAAAGAGTAAAATATTTAATGGTTATCTGAAAGGCCGCAAACGGCAAGTCGGAAGATCACGAGCAAAGTGGCTTGACAATTTAAGGAGTGATATTCAGATGTTAGGACTTAATAATTGGATAAATATGCAGAAAATCGAATTGTATGGAAGCGAATTTTAGAGGAGGCCAAGGCTCTTGAAGAACTTTAGCGCCCTGGAGAAGAAAAAGAATGTTTATTGACCCGCGTCTTATTTAATGCAGACCAAAATAGTGTACAACAAAATGGTACAAAAAAAATTTCTACCCAAAATTGAAAAATAGCTTAGTTCTCATTTTTAGATTCTTCTGGAGTACTTTACCGATAAAGGAAATATTTAGTATTGAATTAGTAAACTAGTACATTGACTTAGTAGATCTATTCCTTATTTCTTTTTAACACACATTTTTCAAAAAAAAAAATGAAGTTTTTGAAAACAAATTATTTTTGTATTTTTGTATGCATATTGGCAATACTTGTTTGTAGAAACAAATATTGCCAATATGCATTAGTTTACATATTACGTAAATTAACATAATGCTAATTTTTGACATTTAAAAAATGGGTAACAGGCTGCTATTTTATTATTGCCATTATTACATTTGGTGTAGATTTAAATAGTGATCTAAGGCAAGGTTTCAAAACTACGTTTCCAACAATATGGAATTACTACCATGGTCTGAATCTAGTGATTTACTTACAATCAAATAAGAATAATTAAAAAACGACAAACTCGTTAAAATTTAATAACCCTGTTAACGAATTAAATAATTTTAACTTATTTTAAATTTGCAAAAAGCAAAAAAGCAAAAAAAAATTTAAACACTTCTACATTTTATTTAAATTAGTGGTTTTTTCTCCATTTTATTTTGTTTATTTTTTTTTTCCTGAAATATGAAAAAAATGTTGATATATGAAAAATTGGAGCA